ACATGCTTTATACAAAATTGATTTCCCTTCACCCAAATTTTGACAATATCCTGCAATTCCCGAAGAAAAAGATAGATTTTGAAGGAATTTCTAGATTTTCCCTATTGGGCCCAGCCCCTTTAGCCCCAAGCGGTTGAGACCCTCCATTTATACAAAACTGATTTTCCTTCACCTATGCATGCTTCAGATCAAGTTTAGGAAAATATTCTGCAATTCCCTAAGAACAAGACAGACTTTAAAGAAATTGATTTGATTTTCCCTTCCTTCATGAATAGTTACAATATATAGTAAACGTTTACAGACAATGGACGGACGGATGACAGACGGACAGTATCCCTATAACTGCCGAAACCCCGAAGAGCCAGGTGAGCTAAAAACAAAGACATCCAAATTTCTTTCATTCTACTTTATTTACAATAACATATATATCAATGTTGATGTTATTAACAGGTACATAAAAAACCATTTTTTCTCCCAAAGCATGCACCATCCCATCTATTAGACAATATACCCTCCGATAGAGTCTACCATCCAACCAATTACAGAGCTAATATATCACATGGTAGTCTTCCAACTCACCAGTAACAAAGCCATTATACCACATGTATAGAGTCTATCGCTTTACCAATTAGATCCTCTATAGCACATGACTGTATCATCCTACATGTAGCTCATCATCTATACCACAAGGTAGGATGTAAGAGTCAACCATCTCACCAGTCACAGAGTAGATTCTACCATCCCACCAGTCACAGAGTAAGTAGAGTCAACCACCCCACCAGTCACAGAGTAGTCTCCCATCCCACCAGTCACAGAGTAGAGTCTACCACCCCACCAGTCACAGAGTAGTCTACCACCCCACCAGTCACAGAGTAAGTAGAGTCAACCACCCCACCAGTCACAGATTACAGTCTACCATCCCACCAGTCACAGAGTAGAGTCTACCACCCCACCAGTCACAGAGTAGTCTACCACCCCACCAGTCACAGAGTAAGTAGAGTCAACCACCCCACCAGTCACAGAGTACAGTCTACCATCCCACCAGTCACAGAGTAGAGTCTACCACCCCACCAGTCACAGAGTAGAGTCTACCACCCCACCAGTCACAGAGTAGTCTACCACCCCACCAGTCACAGAGTACAGCCTACCATCCCACCAGTCACAGAGAAGAGTCCACCACCCCACCAGTCACAGAGTACAGTCTACCATCCCACCAGTCACAGAGTAGAGTCTACCACCCCACCAGTCACAGAGTAGAGTCTACCACCCCACCAGTCACAGAGTAGTCTACCACCCCACCAGTCACAGAGTACAGCCTACCATCCCACCAGTCACAGAGTAGAGTCCACCACCCCACCAGTCAGAGTACAGTCTACCATCCCACCAGTCACATAGTAGAGACCACCACCCCACCAGTCACACAGTAGAGTCTACCACCCCACCAGTCACACAGTAGAGTCTACCACCCCACCAGTCACAAGAGTAGAGTCTACCATCCCACCTGTCACAGAGTAGAGTCTACCATCCCACCAGTCACAGAGTAGAGTCCACCACCCCACCAGTCACAGAGTAGAGTCTACCATCCCACCAGTCACAGTGTAGAGTCCACCACCCCACCAGTCACAGAGTAGAGTCTACCATCCCACCAGTCACAGTGTAGAGTCCACCACCCCACCAGTCACAGAGTAGAGTCCACCACTTTGCCAATAAGACCCACTATATCAGATGGTTTAGTATCATTCCATCAGAAACTGCATCATATGCTAAGCTTCAAAAGTCTACCACCCCACCAGTCACAGAGAAGAGTCTACCACCCCACCAGTCACAGAGAAGAGTCTACCACCCCACCAGTAACAGAGTAGAGTCCACCACTTTGCCAATTAAACCCACTATATCAGATGGTTTAGTATCATTCCATCAGAAACTGCATCATATGCTAAGCTTCAAACCACTCCACTAGCAAGGAGCCACTGTATCACATGGAAGAGTCTACCACATCACCAGGCAGAGCCACTATACCACATCTTTAACTGCCACTTTACCAGTCAGAGACATTTTACCACATGGTAGATCCTTGACTTCATCAGTTACATCCACTTTACCACAGGTTTGATTTTACCACCCCACCAGTCACAGAGCCACTATACCACATCCTAGAATCTACCACTTTATTAGTCCGAGCCACTTTTGCACAGGGTAGAGTCTATCACCTCACCAGAGTCACTATACTTCATGGTAGAGGCTTCCACTTCACCAGTTAGGGCCATGTTACCACAGGATAGAGTTTACCACCGCACCAGAAACAGTACTACTATACCATATGGTAGAATCTCTTACCCCAGAAGTTACAGTCATAGAACTACACAGTAGTCCACTCCCTATAGTCTTTATCTTTCTACAATTGCTTTGCATTATTTTTTATCTTCACACAAATTTACTTTCCTTTTTGAAAATCAGAACATATTTTGATTTTGTTAATGCTGGTAATAATTCATGGTAATAGTTTTTGAAATGGAAATACTGAAAATAGTCAAATAATGCCCATTTTTTTCCTATTTCCTTTTTCTAACTATGTGTATCAAACAAGATCTAAGCTGATGTCAAGACAAAATATTTCTGTTTAATCAGTCGATGTGATGGCCAGCTTTATATTATAAATACATTCAAAACCAATAATCAAGTCTGTAGGTAAATCAGAAATAATCATTTCATCTGCAAAAAGTTCACACAGATATTTAAATAATGATTTCCTGTTTTCACCGGACAATAAAAAATGGAGATGTTTCATCCTTTCAGTGGCTTCTATCTGAGCAGTAAAGATGGTATCAATATGGTACATTTACATCTATCCAACTAAGCTTGTTTTAAATCAATTTAACAAATCTGTGACCTTTCCAACATAAAAATACAAATCTAACATACTTCACCTTTCATTCATTTAAATGCTGTGAATTATATTTAATAAAATAAATCCAAAAAGTGTCGTTATTCTCATTTTCTTTCTTTCATTCTGTCTTATGAGAAGTGATAACACTCACCAATTATCCATCTCAATCATTATGATCTTCAATCCATTATACTTAAATACAACAATTATACCAATTTATTTAAGAAGCAACATTTCACCACAGCTAGGCTACAAAACTGAATTCCAGCTGTATACACTATCAATGTTGTGCTCATTGTTGGAGTTTGGATAACATCAGCATTCATTTCCAACATAAATCAGGCCGGAAATGTCAGTAACTTGTGAACAAAGACGAACATACAGTGTAAAGAGCCAATAAATACTGTGTTTTTATCATTGTACCTCTTTTGGTCCAATAAATCTGGACGTGAGCTCTGCACCCAGAGTCATTCATCAAAATTAACCCACGAATAGGTTCTGAGCAATTAAAACAATTATTTATACACAAAGATAGATACAAAACAAAAATAATTAAAATTAAGCGATACAAAGTTTGCTAAAACTTCCTATACTAAATATGACTGTCTGCTTGAGTATACAACTTACATACACTCCATGGCTAGTAAAATACAAAAGACCTCATATTGTAAATTAAAATGACACAAGTTTTGTATAGATATACAAGTACATACACTGTGACAAAAGTCTGTTTAAGGACTGAATGTTTACACTAGATCACTCTCAGATTGTCTACTTAATACTGCATGAATTTAAGATAGACAACTGAATGTAATTTCTATCTCTTGAGTTTCATCAGCATGTAATCTTATTTTCAATATGTATAAAATAGTACTACATATTGGTTGATTGATATAATGTTTAGTGCTGTACTTTCTGTTATTTTTTTCATATTCTTAAATATTTAACATTGCCTTCACATTCATTGCTTTATTATTGCCCTACGTCCCGTTAACAGCCAAGGACATATAAGGACATGTCAGGTTTGGGTGGTGTATGAAAGTCAGGGCCTGAAAACTGCTACCAAGAGGTGAAGGCTGGTGACTAAGATCTGATATTGCGTCAGAGGTCAAGTTCTGATGATCTGTACTTTAGCCAATCATAGTGATGGCCTGCCTTGTTGGTATTGGAAACCAGATGATCACTGCGTAATAATGCTCTTTAACGTGTCCCCAGAATCTATAACATTGTGGGACAGATTACGTTGATTTGAATCAAAATTGCTTCAAACATATTGTTCATTATTCAGATAAGTACATACACTAAGTATATTAAACGAGAATACTTACTTAAAACATGATTATCATCTCACTGCATTTTGTCATGTATCATGACAATTAAAAATGTCAATGAAACAAACTTTTTCATAAGGCAGATTCCACGGTAAAAATTCTACTATGAGAATTCTTGAAAGTCCCACTTTGATCCATTTGTCAGTATAAGATTTTTTTCAAATTACCATGTGTAAACTTCTTCACATTACTGAATAGTATGTGCATTTAGAAAGCTGTCACATCAACTGCAACTTCTCTATCTGCATCTATAACTGATAGAAAATAAAGTAGTAGGATATTACATCCTATTAATATTAAGTTACTTTGAAGTTCTGCTCTCATATTAGATGTCATGTTTAATAAAAAGAGAAAAAGTGATGTCTGACTACTTCCATAAGATTTTTTTTTAACAAAGTAAACAAATGTCAAATGAAAAGAGCAAAGAATGTAAGTTAGGTATATATAAAGTATATATTCTAAAACTTAAGCTGATACTGTACATTCCAGTTCATACAATGGACAAGTATGCCTAAAACAAAATGAAAGATGCAATGGAAAAAAAAAAAAAAAAAAATTATGACATAAAAGTATGCACAAATAAATTATATACAAACCTGCACTCTATACATTATTAGCTTGGCTGCGAAATAATGACCTTTCACAAAACCAAATTATGTCTACAAAAACAAATATGTCCTTATCAATAAAATGGCTAGCATTTCTTTTGTAAAGGAATTCTATTAAAGAAAAAGCTTACTTTTAACAATAAGGATTTTACTTTTGAAATGTATGGTCTTAAAATCGATGCTGAATTCTGCTTTTTTTTTTTTTTTTTTTAAATTTTACTTTTAATGACAAAAACCATTTTCTGTAGCACAAACTTCTAATTATTCTTTAATGATGATCACTTTACATTTCTAGATACAAGCATCAAATGCTATCAGAATCATTCTTAAATTAATTCTTCATGTCCCAAATAAAATAGCATGTCTTAAAAAATAAGCAAAGCAAAATGCTATCTTTTAAAATATGATTACTAGTTATTATATTAATATTTCAATCTACAGCATAATTCCAATTTCATATGAACCCAATAATATGTACATGCTGCAATAGCAACAACATAAATAACACCAGACAGATCAGTATTAAATAACAAAACTCTGAACATAGATGTTGTTTTGCAAATATACAGAACAATTCACCATACCCAGTATGCTGATAATTCATACATTCCTTATTGGTTATAATATTGAGGAGTGAACACATTGTGACATTTACACCATCTGGAGCTTCATTTTGCAAGTATGACCCACAAAACATCAACTGACTAATATATTTAAAAGTGAAGCACTTTTACCTCCACCAACTGGCATCAACTGATATATGAATACTAGAATGTGAATACTAGTGACAGCATCTGCTAGAAGGTCACCAAAGGATACTAGAATGTGAGATGAAGGTCAGTTACCAAGAATACTAGAATGTGTGAAGGTCAGTTATCAAGGATACTAGAATTTGAAGTGAAGGTCAGTTACCAAGGATACTAGAATGTGTGAAGGTCAGTTACCAAAGATACTAGAATGTGAGATGAAGGTCAGTTACCAAGAATACTAGAATGTGTGAAGGTCAGTTATCAAGGATACTAGAATTTGAAGTGAAGGTCAGTTACCAAGGATACTAGAATGTGTGAAGGTCAGTTACCAAGGATACTAGAATGTGTGAAGGTCAGTTACCAAGGATACTCGAATTTGAAGTGAAGGTCAGTTACCAAGGATACTAGAATGTGTGATGAAGGTCATTTACAAAGGATACCAGAAAGCAAGGTAAAGGTCAGGTGGTCAGTCACCATGGTTACTAGAATGTGAGGTGAAGGACAGTCATCATGGATTTTACCCAGTCAAGAAAGTGACCACAAGATATCAGAAGGTGAAGGTCAGTGATCATAGAGAAGAAATCCTATAGACTCTACACCATATAGATACAATAAACTAAAACAGCATATATACCAGAAAGCTAAACCACACTGAAGAATGCTGATGCTGCAATAGTTGATCCAATGGTACTGATGCTTGTGTTATCAAAATTCTAAACTTTAAAACACTATTTTGCTGGGAATTATGAAATTGAATATCCAAAATATTTATTTTAAAGCCAGGAAATGTTTTACAAGTGAACATTTGTTCCAACATTCACCAGTTTTGTAACAATTTGAGACACTGAGATGGCCATCAAAACCTACATCTATACCAATCCTACATCCATATCAGTTTAATGAGTTATAAAGTTTCATTTTGACAGCTGCCCCTTCAACAATCAACAAATCAAAACCACAAGTGTTCCATTCATATACATCTAGTTCAACAATTACTACACATAAACTGCCCATACATATTTGTGAGTACATTTGTGACACAACTTTAAACCGAAAGTGATATTGTATTCATAACAAAATAGTAATCCACATTTAATAGCACACATACAAACAAGTCTACTCCAATTAATCCTTGCTTTATCCTACAATTGCTGAATGGTCCCTCTAGTTACAACTACGTGGTTCCACCTTCACCGATTCCTTCCTCCTCGTGTCGAAGGCGATAGTCCTCCAGAGTTTTCTGGATAGTTTCATTAGAATATTTACACTTTGGTGAGCCACAGGCACATGTAAACTGCTTCCATTTAATCATCCAGAACTTCTCTCCATAATCAAACCTGTGGAGAAATACAATAATTATCCAACCTGTATTTAAACATTTAAATACATAATGTACATTGAAACTTAAATAAACTGGCACAATATGCAGCTGCCAGGTTGGTCCTCAGCATGTGACAATTTCCCAGCACATGGTTGGTAAATGCCTGCTTCAAGAGAATGATAAATGACTGTGTGATGCTTACAATACCAGTACATTGTAAATTTTTGTTACAATCTATTGTATCATATGAGTAAAAACGTGTTTACTGAATAACTACATTAAAACATGTGTACCTCATCACACATGTTTAGTACAAATTATACTTATTGTTTTAAAATGATTTTATACTGTACTCAATTTTACATTTTTAAATGTTTTACTAGCTTTCTTAAGCCTTTCTTTTCATCACTGGCAAACATTCAAAAGTACTGCCATGTTGTAGTCAGTGTAAACAATGTTCCAAGCATTAATCATGATTGTTCTACATTGAAAAGTCCTAACTACAACCAGTCCAAATTGGCAAATTACTGAACATCTTTCATGGTGTCATATGCATCTAAAGATGTTTCATCTTCAAAAATAAGAAGTAAGGTATACCTCCTACTGAAAACCAGTCAACAGCAGTGGTGAAACACAACCATTGAAGTCATATAAACATCAACATGTTACATTTCAAAATCTCTATAAAAATGTTTATCAACTGACCCAAGCTCTTCATCTGATTTGATATCACGTGAGGAGAAGAAACATATCCGAGGGAAGCGAAGATCCTGGTGCTCCACAAACACCTTGACTGGAATCAGGTTTGGTTCGCAAAGGTGGTTGATGAAACGACTGATGTTGCCATAGCGACGAGCGTCAATGCAGTAGGTGTCTCCATCCTGCAAGACAGATGATTCAATTAATTTTGCTTTAATTTTTTAAAAATAAATATACAATTTCCCTATTGTATAGGAGATAAACCTTATCTGTTGCAATAAGGATGTAATTACCATGTAAAAAGTTAAACATATATGTTAGATACAGCTTGCCTACATACCCTATTGTCGAGGTCAAACAGGTAGGAATCATCCTCTCTACTGTCTGCTTCGGAATCTGAGATGAGTTCACCAATATACCTGTATAAGGAAACCAATTTTAAAATGCAGTCAAAAAAAGGGGGAAAAATTGAGAAAAGAAAAAAATACTATGTGAATGAGGTGTTCATTTAAATTTTTTTTGAAAAAGGTAAAAAACTGAATTTTTTTGTATCAATTAAAGCATACACAAATATGATAAATAGCAAGTTAAACAGTACTTTGCACTCACTCGCAAATAAATGTGCCCTTTGGTATATCTAACAGTGATTTAACTCCCCAGCCACGGCCATGAGTTTTCACCATCTGCAGTCGGCTCCTGTTACACACAATATATATATATAAATATATAAAAATTTCATCACATATCACAATTAACATTTTTCACTCTGGTCTGATTCCCCTTCTAAAACACTGACAGCATGTTAAAGCAACCTAAATCGATCACTTATCTTTCTCAAATCTTAACACAAGTTTTTTAAAGTCATAGTTATAAGGTGTCAGTTTTTCTCCTTAGAGTGCTATGTATGGGCACTGCTTGAAAACAATCATAACCACCAAGATGTTGAGACACCAATAACGGGACAGAGTAAGAGAGATAACTGGTAATGTTTGCAGGCTCATTAAAGAAAGCCAAATTATCTCCCTTGCATTATGATATCTGTAGAACTTAAGTATTTAGTTACAGGACAGGGTCACATCACTACACTCCCTTATGATTATCACATATCTTTGACAGACAAATGATACTGAGGATTTTTTTTTCAGATTGTTAATGAAATACAGACAAATAAGCTTACGCTATTCCCATCTGGACTACACGATTGTTACAAGTGCTCCAACACCGACAGGCTTTATTACACTCAAATATCAATGGAGGCTCCAACATGTTGAAGTCTGGTAAAAGTCGACAACCCTACAAAAAAGTGTGAATCAAACTATTAATGATGTGTACATATCAATGTTAAAACCAAGAAGCCTTCAAAAGTGTAAACAAATAGATAAATATTTTAGGCAATAGTAACATCATTATTTTTATTGCAGTTTAAACTTGTATTGACCAAACTGAAAAACATCACAATAAATGCCTTATTTGTAATGATGCTTAACTATGTGATGTTCAAATCATATCTTTCTAATGCTAAACACTGCTTTCATAATATCAATACAGTTAACAGTTGTCCTATAAGAAATCAAGAGTACCAATTCTATCTTTCAGCCATCCAATCAAAGGGCTGTATGATTATGACATTGACTTTTTATGGTCAATATAGACATAATGGTATCAACTATTGAAAAGACAAGTGTTTGTATCTGTAGGCATGAACTCTAATTTGGTATTAATGTTAACAAATAAGATTTAGGATGAAAAGTATCTTTCACACAACTTGATTTGATATTGTTTGGAAAGAGAAGGAGTAAACAGCTTACACGGTCATACCAGCACTTGACACTGTTGCGTCCACACACACAGAACATGGAGGAACAATTATCACTACAGCGACAACTCTGTAAACAAACAACAATAATTCACAACAGGCATCTCCATATAACAAAAACCAATAATTAAAAGCCAGTAGTCACAAAAATATCACATATTGTCATAGAGACTTGACTTGTTTGTTGGTTAAAAGGCTACAAAACTTCAGTTCCAAATTCCTTCAGATATGATAATGATACGTATAATGAGGACTGCCTGACCTACCTGTAGACTACTGATGGTCCTGTTGATATTTAGGTCAACTGTTTCCACATTCTCTGTAATGTACTGGAAATCTGTTGGTATGGGATCATCGTCTGTACCATTCACTACTGCTATTGGAATGTTTTCTCTACCCATTGACACATCCCTATCACAACAAAATAACTTTCATTCAGTAATGATAGAAGTCTCATTTCAATAATGTTAAGACCACCTTGTTATTGAGTTCTCCATTTATGTGGATGTAATTCTTACTTTATTCTCCTATTGAGCACCAACCCTCCTGTCCCAAGGGGTCAAGCTCTGCCATTTACAAAAAAATTATTCCCCTTCATCAAAAAATGCTTCAGACCAAATTTAAGCCAAATCAAATAATTCTTGCAGGGGGAGGTTTTTCCCTATTGGGCACCACCTCTCCCTTCCAAGGAGGCAGAGACCTACCATTTACACAAAATTTATTCTCCTTCACCTAAAAAGCTTTAGACCAAATTTGAGCAATATCAATTCATTCCTTAAGGATGAATAGGATTTTATAGAGCTTGCATAATTTCCATTTTGGGGGCCCATCCCTCAGGCCCCAGAGGTCTAAGAACCAACCTTTTTACAAACTTTGTTCCACTTCCCATAAGAATGCTTCTGACCAAACTTAGTAAAAGTCTGCCCAGTCGTTAATGTCTAGTGGCGATTTCTCCTACAAAGCTGACAGACTTATGTCATGCCTTGACATAAGCTCACTAGTTCTTTGGACCAGGTGAGCTAAAAATTGTTAATACCTATGAATCAACCTCTCTGGCCTGCCCATTCTGGCTGCAGCAAATCCTTTCAGCTGTTTGTTAACTCTTAGAGCCAACCAGACAGGACTGTTTTCATTCAGACAACACTGAAAGGAAATAAGAAAAACTCAATCAATCTTTAGAAATATAGTGGGAGATCTGTTGGCATCCTTGATACTCCAGGGATTACGATCACTTTCCCCCTCTTCAGCCCTGTAATATGTCAAGGCAAAATTGAAGGGTTCAACGTGCGAAGCTTTATGAGCAAGAAGACAAGACTAGTTTGGTCCTTTCATGTACATCAAATGGTTTATTGTGCTGGCTTTAAAGTTCGGTATTGCTCCATTGTAATCTTCAAAAGGCGCATATCAGCCTGTGATTGGTCAGTGTTTTTTATCAGAACCAATCAAATTATTTCATTAAAACCTCCAATTTTGCCATGAAATGTTCCAGTGGTGCAGAGAGCGAAAGGTATCATAACTCCTGAGTATTGAGAATGATCTTTTGGAGGATTAGGAAAAATTATCTATGGTCATATTACCTTTCTTAATGGTACTGCAAACAAGTAAATGATTTTGCTGTAGTTACCTCCCATTAACTACTTAGAATGACAAATATTTCTTATTTTCCATGATTTTCACTACAAAGCTCATCGACTTACCCCAAAAAATGATAAACAATAATTAAATTGTAACAATGAGATTTAGTTCCTGTAGTCTACTCATACATATCAAATCATCATTTCAGTTACACATTATCGCTCCCATCCACTCTCCTACCTGGATAGGCACTTCATTTTCGTTATTTTTAGCTTCCACATCAGCACCACGAGCTAGGAATAAGCTGAAACATACACATGTATCATATTAATCTAAGTGTTTTTTAGTCAATTTTACTAGTAAACTATAAAGTTTTCAATATAAATTCATTCCAAAACAGATCAATTAAGTACCAAATTTGTTATGACAGGTCTCTGACCTTCAATAAAACTTTTTGACATGTTGGGATGTGTGCAATATTTTATAGCATACCTTCTCTGAGGAAACATTTTTAAATTTCATAATGTAACACAAAATTATAGACTGAATTGGGATGATATATTAATTTCACTGACAAGAACATTATTTTTCAACATCTTTAAAAGACAACTTTTATTTCTAAATGCACATAGTAAAACCTTGACATATTATGTTGCAGAGTAATGTTGACAGAGCATACTTACACTACACACTCATAGTGATCTTGTCGTGCTGCAATGTGTCTGAAAAACAAACACCATTACATGATTACTTTCATCCATTTTGTTTTCAATGATAGAAGTTTTAGAAAATTACATTGCAAACAATTCCATTAAATCCATTCATCCCTAACAAAACAACTAACATACAAGTCCCCTTCAGGATGCTCCAGATTAAATTTTGTTTGAAATATTGATCTCAGTTTCCCAAATAGTGGCCTCATCTTTTGCAAACAGAATGTGGTTATTTATACCATCAAATCGTTTGTTTTTATGACAGATTTTTCAATGATTTCATGGGTATTCTCAATCCAAGAATTCTACATCCAAGAACAAGAAAGTAATTTTACTGAACTATATTTATCTCAAGTGTCCACAATATACACAATATTAGTATTTGTTTTGAAAAACCATTGAATTGAGCCCCACGAAAAAAAAGTGATTTACCAGTAGTCTTATGCCATGAAAATACTACAGCATTTACATCATCATATCCTACACAGACCATAACTTATCTTCATTAGATAGAAACAATGTCTCACTCATGAACACCACCACATTTCATCAACTGCTTACCTATGACCCTATGGTCAAATATTAAACCACTATATGTATGGTGAAGTGTGTACTTACAATGGACGGTCTCCATGTTCATTTGGAGTCTCTAAATCACAGCCTGCATTCAGAAATATTTCGGCGATATCCACACTACCTGAGAAGGCAGCCCAGTGAAGACTTGTATTCTCCTCCTATTTATGAAATAGTCATCATATATTGAGGTTTCAATCTTGAATACCGAGTTCTAGATTACATGTCTGCATTTGAACCTTGCAGATTCCTCTCCTTATTAGAGAAGACCCTTTTTTTTCTTTTTTTTTTTAATGAGGGTAGCCATGCATTTTTTACATCAAAGATATTATTTCAGTTTAAATTTTGGAAAATCTTTTCCTTTTGTTTGTATGTTTTTTTAATCAATATGTTAAATGAAGAGGGAAATTTTGAAAAATAGTATAGGAAATAGGTTAAAATATTTCAATTGCAGGAAAAATTGAATGCCAACTATCAAAATTTACTATGTAATGACGATATCAAAGTTTATTCATCCTCCGGAGACAAGTCCTTACCTTATCTTTGAGATTAGGATCAGCACCATTCTTCACTAAATATTTCACTGCATTCACATATTTGTGTTCAGATGCCCAAATAATCGGTGTCCAACCACCATCATCCTAGAAAAATTGCAAAAAATAATCAAACGTACTTGTTTATTGTAACAAATCATTTAACATGTCAGCAGGGCTTTTTTCCACTCACTCATTTTGGGAAAACTAAAGAAAGGTAACTGGAAAGAAACTTTAGAGGAGTAGACTATGAATTTTGGGAATTTGACAATATCATGAAATCTATTTGGGAATGGGGCCCATATTTGTCCCCACAGAGCCCCTTGAAAAAGGCGTGATCAGTAATTCAAGTCCTGATACCTTTTAATATGAAGTAATTAAACTTTTCATATAATAAAATAATTCCGTGCACAACATAATTTAACTTCAGTTGGTTCCATCCAATAATTTTTACCTGTTCTTGAAAATTAGTGTATAGGTACAAACATTCTAAAATCCAAATGCCGTTTAAAACTATTCATCTCAAACTGTGCCCAATATTATAGGACATCCATGGTTTAGCCAGATTGAGATTACAATCCAATAAAAAGGACTGATCAAATGTTTCTAGAAAATTCTGGCTAAGCTCAACAGTAAATCCATTCCAATGCACTACTGTGTCCTGGAGTCAGATTGAACAACTTTCACCACACAAGTTTATACAAAAAATAATAGTTCTATCTCCTTCTCCACAGCTAAAACTACAAAGTAGAATTAATTTTACCTGTACGTTAATGTCAATCTTGTCTGCCTTCAGAAGTAACTTGAGCACTTCCACATGACCAGCTTTGGCGGCATAATGTAGTACAGTCATACCATCCTCAGCCTGAAACAGTCACCATCCTTGTTATAATCACAGATTGTGTACGCATCGTAAAAAGAGCATTTCTTAGCAAAACTCATAGTTTAGAAAAATTGCTCAAGAACATACATTTCTACATTGCATATCCACTTAATTAAAGAATGTTTGAAAGAAAATGTCATTCACATTTTTATTTGAACAACCAATTACACTTTTTTCTTTGCCATCAACCTCTGACAGATAAAAACAAAAAAATTTGTCAATGAGTACTCTAATTCCACAAATTCATATGACAATGTTGACAAACAGTGAAAAATTTGTTGTGCAATTTGACAAAAAAGTGAAATTTGTCAGCAATTTTTAACAAACAGGTTCTTTGTCCTCGTTAAGATGACCACTAAAACAGACATACCCTTAACGTAACATCAGCATCCATCTTGAGGAAGTATTGAACTATATTGACATGGTTGTTTTCTGCTGCATACATTAGGGGAGTCTTCATCTCCTTGTCTATTTTGTGGATTGATGCCCCTGCCTGTGGTAAACAGTATGCATTTGAGATAATACAGGAGTTATCTCCCTTCTTACAAGAATTAACGAGGAAATATTGCCTGAGAAGTTGGAATGTAAACATGATTATTTGTTTCACTTTGCTAGCTGTATACATAACCAACTGTTATTTGGTAAATAAAGTGAGTAGTTTGAGATCTTCCTGAGAGCTAAACTCTGAAACATAATTAATATATTCAACCTCTTCATTCCCAGTCCTCTCACCATTACATATTAATTTTACAAACATTTATCAGAATTATAAATTTTCCTTCTGAAGTAATCACAAAACAGAAAACCTTCCTTTATTAAAGTATATTTGATAAATAAACTTAGTTTAAACTTTGAGTTTAAATCATACCACTACTCACAAGTACACAACAACTTACCTGTATAAGCAGGTGAACAACAGGTAGACTTCCTCCAATAGCTGCAGCGTGTAATGAAGTTTGGTTGTCGTAGTCCTCATACTTCTCATTGGGATCAAAACCATCCACTGCAATTTCATTTGCAATCTTTATTAAATATTTCACTGACAATCTTGATAATTGCCCTCCGTTGTCTGTTATATCAACAAACTTTGGTCAATGTAACAGTTACTACTTCATGAGAAAGGGTACAGCTTATATGTGGATCAAATCGAAAAGAATGGTAAAACTCGGCTGTGGCTAGTATACCGGAAAATACAGAAAACATAAACCAAACCCATCAAACGTTTAGCTTCATTTAAACCAAATGTGCCATATGAAAATGTTTAAAAGATGATCACTTATTCAGCAGTGTGTAGAGCAAGATGTAGATTGATCTGACATTTGTAATGACAATTTGAACTAATTTCTTTTACATGTTTATACATTCTATATAAAACAAACTTGTTCAGGTTCTAAATGATTTTTTTACTGAAAATATAATATGTAACTGTAAAAATCACACAATTTCTGTTAAAAAACCCAAAACTAACCAATCATGAAGATTATCTTTTCCAAGTCTCCCTCATACGCTGGGTTGTACATAGATTTCGGCAATTTACGGTACTTCAGTGGCCTGGAAATAAACCAAAATGAGCAACATCCAAAAGTCTACCTTGATATATGTGATTTTTATATAAAAGGCTTTGGTAAAGTGACAGGAAAACAAATTATATATATATCTGAATATTTTACTTAATGATTATAAAATTTCAAATTGTCCAGAATCTGTGTGGAATTATGTGTATTAAAAGACTTTGAAATATATAAGTACCTTTCAACAGCCAAGCTGTTTATGACCTTTTCAAGGGCATTTTTGTCTGGTCCAATAGGAACTCCACCTACACAAAAAACACATCCTATTAATTGTATAATTGTAGATTTTGGTTCTGGGTTGGGAGGACTGTCCAATTTACCCCAATACTCTAGTGTAATATATTCTTGAAGCCATTACTACTGAGAATGATCTTAAGTGGATATAAAATCTTCAAAAACGGTCTAAAATTTAATTTTCTTCAGACGTAAACTGCTTTTCCTCCCCCATCCTCACCTCTTATTTCTCTCTTTTTTATGTGACCTTTGGTAGTATCCAGGTTTTCATCAGAATGCATTTAATGTGAAGAAAAGATAATATTTTCTTACTTGCTTTTGAATTCACTAAAACCATTTATATCATAGAAGAGAGAGTACAAATCTGAAATGGTAGAGTTAATGATGTCTGTATACCTGTGGACAGTGTTTTATCACTAGAAAGTTTATGGGAGGCAGTTATCTGGTCTTCACTTGGATCCTTTTCTGGTTTCAGGAATGATCTGTATGTATGAGCATGGATGGAAATCTTGGCTCTGTTTCCACTAGAAATGACAGAAAGGATAAGTTTAAACACATTTTCATGTTCTTGATACAATCTACTATGTTAATTAATCTGATGGCCTTCACTTTATATGACAGGGTTTTCCATAATTTTGTTAGTAGTAGGCTGTGTAGTGAAAGTAGGAGGCTGGCCTGCCGTGTACGTGTACGGAACATAATTTCGGAACTGGATTGGTGTAGGCGGCCAAATGATCAAAGTAGCCGGTCAAATTGGCCGGCAACCGGCTCTTATGGAAAACCCTGTATGAACAAATTTCAATTAAATTCCTGCTATTCAATATAAATATTCACCACAAGTACCATGTGTGTGTGTAATTCTGTGTTTCTTTTGGCAGTAGAGGCAATGTCATGGATCATACCTTGAAATAAATGTGTTTTCTTAACCACTACAGACCAGTAACAATAAAGGTATCTGGTATATAAACTAATTTCCTGCTAATTACTCAATTTTGCAATTTTTGTCACAAATTTGCATGATGAACTATAAATTTTTATCGAGAAATAGTTACATTATATAGTTTTAACTCTTGCTCATTCTCAATTACCAACATATGACATCGACTGAAAATGTGATATTTCGGTTTTGACACCAAAAGATAAAATTTATGCCTGGCAAGATAAACCTATTACACCTATCGGGTCAGAAAATACTTAAAAGTGAAAAGGATGAAAGAATTAATGTATTATGTTACTGATATAACACAAATTCTCAAAGATCCCCGACATCATGATATTGTAATTTCTAATATCTACACAACCATCACCTTAAACTGCCATTAATTTCTCTACAGCATGTAAACACCACTGTGTACTCACTGTGCTGCCCTGGCATTGGGTTTTTCCTCTGACTGGCTCTCTGTGCCAGGCTCCTCTAATGACAAGGACACTTCAAACTGCTGAGACTCTTCTCCACAGTGAGGGCAGTAATACTTGCCTCCCTTCAGTACCTGACATTGTTTATGGAAGTGATGAACAGATACAGACCCTTCCTTCTTACAATGGTAAAACTTGCCCTGAAAAAAGCAATGAGATACAGACTTACAAACAGTAGAAACATGTCGTTGTGAACGTCAATAAGGATACTCTTAATGTCAAAGTTCACCAACTGCTTCTGATTTGATTTCAGAGGATTATCATTGAACAGCATTTCAAACTGATAATGTTATGTAAAGTGATCTGTTAAAAAGATTATCCTTTCCTCCCCCTTCTCCTGCCTATTTTTGAAAATAATATCAAGCAGGATAATGATATGATTATTTTGATATCATAAACCCAATCATGACATACGCTACAAAATGTTATGTTCCTCGGTTCCACACATATCTGAATTCTTTGTACTGTTGATTTGAATTCTTTGTACTGTTGATTTGAATTCTTTGTACTGTTGATTTGAATTCTTTGTACTGTTGATTTGAATTTTTTGTACTGTTGATTTGAATTCTTTGAATTCTTTGTACTGTTGATTTGAATTCTTTGTACTGTTGATCTGAATTAAATTTGAGTTGAAATCTTTTCACTGGCTGATTCAATTCTTTGTACTGGTTGATTTGAACACTGAAATATGATAAGTAATTTGTAGTGGATGAACTGCTCACAGTGTGGAACATACCTGTGTACAGAAATGACCACAGCCTGGACAACACTGATGTAGACGTAATCGTTTACGATGGACCTCACAAAGGGCCATGAATGGTATCTTGACTCCAGGTCGAACCAGCTGAGAGCCTGTTACTTTATTGCAGCAACCCATCACCTAGAAACAGAGGTGTGTCACTTTGAGTGAATGTCCCTCAAACTAAAATGTATTTGATGTTGATTCCACATACAAAGTCCTTCAAAGTAAAATGAATTTGACATTGACTCCACACACAAAGTCCTTCAAAGTAAAATGTATTTGACATTGACTCCACACACAAAGCCCCTCAAAGTACAATGTATTTGACATTGACACCACACACAAAGTCCCTCAAACAAAAATGTATTTGACGTTGACTTCACGCACTAAGTTCCTCAAACAAATTAGGAGACCCGTTATTTTACCCGAACACAATATCCAACATAGGTATAAGATGTAATATAGAGTAATTTACATATAGTGCATGCCTTTTAGCATTTGTACCACTGGATAATGTTAACTTTAAACTGAATTCTTTTACTTTACTAATCATCAACATACTGAAGAGTGAAAGTGTGAAATATGGCATATTTTAAAGTGAACAAAGCAATTTGGTGAATTACAGTCCCCTACTGACACACCACCTCACCAAGGTAAACCAAGCCCGAGTATGAAGTTCCAGTGATGATAGTGTAGGATACAGAGCCTGGACAAATATTTTCTTTGATGTGGTCAAAGGTAAAAATGTAGGTCAGAGTGACCTTTGTGAGAATGGTCACATGGTGATCAATCTATAATTTATTTTCATAAGCCCTATAAAATTTCTCGCTAAACACAATTGGTCCTACAATGTAATATTCAAGTATGTCTAAAAATTCCATCAAGTCCCATCAAAATTCTAGGATTAAAAGATATGGGACTCCCACACAGTTTTAACACTGGTCACATCATGTAGGTCTCTGGAATTCTCAATATAAACCCAACCTATCATTTAATGATTGCTGAACCATTATCTTAAAAAGGTGTCTGGGATTCTCTGTGAATGAGTAATCTTTACCTTACCAATAATAGTTAAAATAGCCATTTTGTAAACTGATTATTTGTTTGAGTGAAAATAACTTATCTTGCTGTTCCCTTTACTGTAAGTTAAAACAAAATTAAATATAAAAATTAATCCTGAAGAGTGTTTTTTTAACAAAATTGTTATGAATGCGAAGGAGAATAAACCAATTTTTAAAACATGTTGATATAGGCATTTCATGGTTTCCAACACTTTTGGTTTTTCCTGCGATATATTTGTACACAGTCAAGCACTAGGACAAGATATGTGCAATTAACAAACAATTTCAGAAATGTTTCTAATATCTAATTTGTTTGATATAAAAATCTTGGCATCAACTGAATTAAAGTTATTTCATTTGCAAATGTAAATTTACAGCAAGTGCTTTTTGTTATCATGTGTGCCATTCAAAAACCCAACTATACAAACTGCAAATGTGATCATCTTAAACAGCATTTAATTTTCTGTGCAGATTTCAAGGCTAGAGGTCACCTATTGCCAATTTTCAGCTTCTTCTCAAGAACCACTAAGCAAACTTCAATCAAACTTGGTGACTCGTTTCAATACCTGAAGGGGCATCAGAATTCCAATTTTTGTGGTCACTGGGTTCACTTGTCAGGAACACAACAATAAAAAAAGATCAAAGGTCATAGGTTATTAACACTTTGAAGGTTGTGTCTCATTCATTAAGTAACTAAACTTTTCAAATGTTAGCTCCATCTGAAGAACTGAATGAGTCAATAGAAATCAAACTTGGTCATTGGCATTATTCCCTACAGGATCATAAAAATTGCAAAATTTGTGGTCCTTAACCCTCCCAAGTTTAAAGGTCACAAGGTCAACAAGGCTTATAAAAAGTGTAACTTCAAAGTTTCTCTATGAAATTTGAGAGAGAGCCTTACTTTTCAAGAAATAGCAATAACCAACTTCACTGAAAAAATCCAAGATGAGTGCAAGTCGGCAATTTTGTTCTTTTTATCAGTCCCAAAATCAAACAGGCACAACTAGGGACCAATGGGAACCTACGTATGGAATTTGAGAATGATCCATCCAGGACTTCCAAAGAAATAGCTATAACATAAATTGTTATTGGACGGACGGAAGACAGACCACAGAGCAAAGTGATTTGAATCGGCTGCCTTTTGATGATAGTGGGCTAACAACTATATAGAAATCTAGTATACAGTTGCTTCATTGTTTACATGCCACGATCATGAAATGTCTCCTTCAGATTATGTACACAAGTGATTTTTTTAAAGGTTGAAATAACATCATCTAATGGCAATTCCAGGCAAGTTACTACTAAATCTCATAACAAGAGTTGGAAACAAAATTTGAAACATATTGTTGAAAACCCTTGAGGACTGCTAGATAATTGCCTAGTCTACAATTTTTATTTGTTCTGGTAGAATACCGTTTACATCTCATGAGTTCTGTCTTTGGTAGAAGTATTGTTTTAAGAATTTACTGTCACTAATTTGGATACCTAGTATAGCACTCGGTCGTTTTAAACTCAGTAACAAAATATCTAGAGGATGAAATGTTATTGTTGTATAAATATTGATTTTCATAAAGTAATAATTGATATGATAATACACTCATAAAGGGCCAAAACAAGAAATCCCTGTCTATCAGTAGCTAAGAGTTTCCATACTTGGCCCCATCCCTCTCCAGGGTGATCAGACCCAACAATTTTGTCCAGAATTGAGTCCTCTTTCCTGAAAGATTAAAAAAAAGCAAAAAAAAAGCTTTCACTCTATTTCCCTTACCAAAGTAATTTACAGAAAAAAGTTGATGTACAGATGCATGAAACGATGGCAGAAGCCACGCTACAGTATAAGTTCACTGGTTATTTGAAGCAGTTACACTAATTCAAAAAAGAACAAAGCATGAACAAAAAAAATAAAATGAAAAATAAAATTCAAGTTCTCTTAATGAATGTTATGTTAAAGATGAAAAATATGCTGTCAGATTTTATCATTTGAACAGTTAGTATCTCAATCAGAATCCCTAATACATCATTTTTCACATGTCTAGCTGTTGAGAGGATATTCTGTCCACTACAAGGGTACACCTTTTTATCCAGTATTCCAAATGTGCATCCAATTGTACAACACCTAAGTTACATGGTCTGAGGCTGAAAACTCTGTAGGATGGACAACACTTATCTCATCATTACAGACAGCCCAAAGAAAATCAAAGCTTATGTGACTATTTTACAAAGTAATAGTTCTTAATATGTTTGTTAGTTTATGCGGGCAGATATATTTTGGCTGTTATAGCCTCCAAGAAGGACAGAAAAGACAGCTGTATAATAATTTTAATTCATCTTGTACTCAATGATCAAGAGTTTATTCACTTGTGTCTTTTGAGCAATACTTGTACCATTTTATAGATATGCTGATTTTGTAATTTTTAATAATCTCAACTATCTTTCCCCCATTATATGCTACTTATGTTACAGATGCTGTTGGATGGGTTGGTTCCTATGACCACAGTTCTGGAGTTTCAGTTCAGGATTTCAGATCTGTTGCTTGATATCAGTATCAGTCAAATAAACTACTGGGGCTAGGGGATCATATAATTTACAATGTTGGTGCGCCTTCAGCCATGGAATGCGCCTTTAGCCATGGAAGGTTTTTGTAAAATTCATTGAATTCGGGTCAGGAGTTTTACTTAAGAAGTCGAAAGTGTTAAAAGTTTACGATGCACAACACGAGACAAAGTAGATCGCAACAGGTCATCCTGAGCTTTTGTCTCAGGTGACCTAAAAGAGGGCCCATCCCTTACCTATATTTTTATGTGAGAGCAACGTCAGACAAAAAGAACAGCATTCCTTCAAGGGAAATATCATAAGGCTAGGCATGATTGTAGCATGATTGTAGCATTCATAAAACAACAATGGCAGCAAAGTAAAGCTCTTGTCATCAGCACTTGATAATTCAAAGCTTTGTTGACAGCATTTAATAATTCAAAGTTTTAACTTTTCTTTTAAAATTAAAAAACAAGAGTCTCAGGTATTTGAAATATTTTATAGACTTGATGGCAGAGGATATCAAGACTTGACAAGTTATAATATCCAGGGCGATCACCCTTGTATCCTGCCATCAAATTCTTTAGAATTATTACCATTACTTGTTAGCTTGCAGAGACCAGTTGTAGTGTCCAAGTACTTCAGCATTTGTTGCAGAATCATGAAACCACTGCTGTTAGTGGAATCATCAGGCTCCTCCAACTCATTCATAGCAAAGTTCCTCAAAATCTGACAATATTCAACTTTCCAACAATCAGGCCTGGAAAGGGTTGTCATTTTGTGAAAACAATACTAAAGCTGCAGAAGTGTTATTAGAGTCATAATAGTGAAGTGGGTGTGGCAAGTCCATTTTGGTATACACATCACTGGTTGATCATAATCATTTAACAATGGTACAACTCTATATAAGATTTTGGTAGGCAAGATAAAATGTCAAAAGGAGGTTAGAAAGTCAAACAGAATTTAGAGACGAAGTGTGACACCTATGTATCAGTGGTAGATACCTGCCCTGGAAACTCAATATGGGTACATGACGTCCAAGCAAAACATTTAATAGCTCATTTGGCACATGACAATATCCTTCTATCAAGCAGCATACAATATCCCTTTGCATTGTCTCAACCCTCCATTCTTTTCCAATATGAGGATTAAATTTAAGCAGACATAAATTTTCATGAACACAACATCATTATATATTTATTAGTGTCCTTACCTTTCCATCAATAGAATCAAGGGCCTGGCAGTACGTTGTACTACATCCAAGCTTTTTAAAACTAGCACCATTGATTTTACAGCAGCACAAAGGGATGACATCCTTATCTGGCGGAGTCGGACCTGGAGGGGCCTGCAGGTACAATAATTGTTTTCATGATATTGTAAAACATTTTCAGGGGAAATAACTTTTTTTTTCTCTACTGAAAAAGTACACAGGATATCGTTACCATACAGCATTCCTGTACAATTTTTAATACAACTTCAATGATAAAAAAGAAAGTGTTGGGATAAAAAATTATTTCAATCAAATAATTTAATTGTCCCTTCCTTTTGGAATGATTTGTCAATAGATAAGTTCTTTTATAACTGATGAATTCAAGAACACATAAAACAAGAAATCATTCAATGTTCAATCTGAAATTTTCACATTCTGGTCATTTAAATCAACCTAAACAGACAAAATTTTTAATAGGATTGAAATAGGAAAGTACCAATAAATGATATTTCAAAATTAACCTTTTATCTTTGTATCTTCTTGAACATATTGTAGGAAATATAATACATAACTGAAAGATAACTGTTTTTGAATTGATTAACAAGAAAACTTTCCAATATTTCACACCAATCAATCAACAATACTTTGGTTATTCACATCAAAGTGTAATTTCATCTTAAAACAACACACATATACTTATGAAATTAAAAGTTACATTACACTACTGGTGATATATGTTGTCTAAAACAGAAGATCTTAACATATCATGCACATGCAAAATTTAAAATTCAACTAAAATCACTGAAGTTTGATAAAACATCTCTAAAATAAAAGAAAGAAATAAGAGCTGTACAGAAACAGTGTTTCATTATATTGATCAAATAGATCATAAATGTTCAAATCAACACAACAATCTGATACCATAGTAATCTGCAGTAAGCCCACCCACCCGTATATCAAGCTGTTCAGTAGCAATCGTTGTCCAGCGTTCAGCCAACCTGATAGATATTACACTACATTACATTCAATCACTCACATACCATGTTATATACTTAAAAATATCCATTAATATCGCAAGAGATTGATCCCACAGGGATCTTTTTGCCCAACATTGTTTGATTGTCATTTGCACTTTGAAAGTTTGATCTTATCCCTTCTGTCCTTTGATTTTATTCTAATTATTGAATTTAAAAATTCCTTCAAGAAATAGTTATAATAATCTTAAACTGCTGATTCCAAGAATCTGTCAGCTATTTTTTGTTTTTCAAATCAACTGTAAAATTAGAAGGGCATAATCAGAGACCAAGAGGAATTTCAAGAAATAGCAATAACGAACTTTCATTCTAAAAATCTAAGATTGCCATCTGTCAGCAATTTTGTTTTTTTATCAGTCCCAAACAAACGAGCACAACTAAAAGACCAAGGGATGATATAAAACGTCACGGTCCAGAAAGTCAAGATATCAAGGGTGAAGGTCCAGAAAGCCAAGATATCAAGGGTGAAGGTCCAGAAAGCCAAGATATCAAGGGTGAAGGTCCAGAAAGTCCAGATATCAAGGGTGAAGGTCCAGAAAGCCAAGTTATCAAGGGTGAAGGAGGTCAACTAAGATAGGATATCAGGGGTGAAAGTCTAGTAAGTCAGAATATCAAGTGTTAAGGTCAACTAGGATGGTATATCAAGGATGAAGGTCCAGGAAGTCAAGATATCAAGGGTGAAGGTCCAGGAAGCCAAGATATCAAGGGTGAAGGTCCAGGAAATCAAGATATCAAGGGTGAAGGTCCAGAAAGCCAAGATATCAAGGGTGAAGGTCCAGAAAGTCAAGATATCAAAGGTAAAGGTCCAGAAAGTCAAGATATCAAGGGTGAAGGAGGTCAACTAAGATAGGTTATCTGGGGTGAAAGTCTAGTAAGTCAGAATATCAAGTGTTAAGGTCAACTAGGATGGTATATCAAGGATGAAGGTCCAGGAAGTCAAGATATCAAGGGTGAAGGTCCAGGAAGTCAAGATATCAAGGGTGAAGGTCCAGGAAGTCAAGATATCAAGGGTGAAGGTCCAGGAAGTCAAGATATCAAGGGTGAAGGTCCAGGAAGTCAAGATATCAAGGGTGAAGGTCCAGAAAGTCAAGATATCAAGGGTGAAGGTCCAGGAAGTCAAGATATCAAGGGTGAAGGTCCAGGAAGTCAAGATATCAAGGGTGAAGGTCCAAGAAGTCAAGATATCAAGGGTGAAGGTCCAGAAAGTCAAGATATCAAGGGTAAAGGTCCAGAAAGTCAAGATATCAAGGGTGAAGGTCCAGGAAGTCAAGATATCAAGGGTGAAGGTCCAGAAAGTCAAGATATCAAGGGTAAAGGTCCAGAAAGTCAAGATATCAAGGGTGAAGGAGGTCAACTAAGATAGGTTATCTGGGGTGAAAGTCTAGTTAGTCAGAATATCAAGTGTTAAGGTCAACTAAGATGGGATATCAAGGGTAAAGGTCCAGGAAGTCAAGATATCAAGGGTGAAGGTCCAGAAAGCCTAGATATCAAGGGTGAAGGTCCAGAAAGCCAAGATATCAAGGGTGAAGGTCCAGAAAGCCTAGATATCAAGGGTGAAGGTCCAGAAAAAGAAGATATCAAGAGTAAAGGTCATGAAAAAGAACATATAAAGGATGATGGTCCAGGAAGTTATGATATCAAGGGTGAAGGTCAACTATGATGGGATATCAACGGTGAAAGTAAAGTAAGTCAGAATATCAAGTGTTAAGGTCAACTAAGATGGGATATCAAGGATGAAGATAAAGGAAGTCAAGATATCAAGGGTGAAGGTCCAGGAAATCAAGATATCAAGGGTGAAGGTCCAGAAAGCCAAGATATCAAGGGTGAAGGTCCAGGAAGCCAAGATATCAAGGGTGAAGGTCCAGAAAGCCAAGATATCAAGGGTGAAGGTCCAGAAAAAGAAGATATCAAAGATGACGATCCAGGAAGTTAAGATATCAAGGGTGAAGGTCAACTAAGATGGGATATCAGGGGTGAAGGTATAGTAAGACAGGATACTGGTGAAGGTCCAGTAAGACGCGATATCAGGGATGAAGGTACAGTAAGACATGATAAGAAGATATGACATGGGATTAAAGATCCTGTCTATGTTTTTATGCTCAATAAAACAAAACAACATGGCTAAGTGTACAAAATGCCCATTACTGTGCTAATTTAACTTAAAAAGTAATAGCACCATCCATTTCCTATAAGAGTCAGAAATTGGCATCATAAAATATATGTAACGTCTTTCCTTATATCTCCAAATCTGATTTGCTGAATGATACATCAATAAAATCAATTGAATGGTCCTCAAACAAAGATAACTACCATATTATTTTGTAATATTATGAAATATTTACATTACAATTTCTATCTTAATTCTCAACTGGCATGGACACCGTGCCATTTTTCGTGTGTATAGTCTAGAGGTGTTTTCAAAAGCAAAAATTAATGTTAGTATATCTGTTCTTTTATGATATGAAACAAAGTGAATTGATTTAGATTGAAAACATTGATGAAATACATTTATTTTTCAGAAATGTATATTAAGTTACATTTAAAACATTTTGAAAAATAAGCACTTGGCCACAATATTTTGTGTCAAAAATATTACATTCAAACATATACCAAGAATGACATTAACTTGTATATCATTTCCATCTTGTAGTTGTGTATATTCTCACAGTAGTTGTTTGTATCCTGATTATAGTGAATGTAATGAAAAACCTCTGAACATGTTTTAACAAATTTAAATGGTTTACTGATTGTGCAGTTTGTGTCATAATGCTATGTTCCAGAGATTAAATCTAGTCATTTATCTTATTATGAGTATGTTGGTATAGATGTTTTACAACATCATGTTGGTGTTGCCCATCACAGATCAGTTTCCGGCTGTTTAACTTGCATCTACATTACAAGGATGCAACAGATCACCTTTATACTGGAGTGGCAGAGATGCAAGTCAAAAGACATGCCCCAAACATTAGATGAATATGTTGACCAGCGTTGAAAAATAACGTTGTTTGAAATTTATTGAGAACAAAATCTAATATAACAATTCACTGAATATTTAATACTTATATCATTATACAGTATATTTTACTGCTAAATGACATTTGGAGATCGACCAATGACAAAATATTGACGTAGTTTTGCATCAATTGTTACATTCTGGTTAATTACTCTACGACAAATAAGTTTGATTCTTATTGCATATAATACAAGAAAACCCCAATATACAAGAAAAACAAGTAAGCATAAACACACAGCATGTGGTGTATTATTTGCTAGTTGTTCCTAGGTCGCACAGGGCACCAAACAGTGAAATGTGCACAGACAATACTCTATGTAAAACAACTTTGCATGACATTACATTTAACGTTGGGAGTATTTTTTTTAAAAACAAAATATGCTTGGATGTAACATGGACTCAGATTCTGAACTGAATGTAACACAGGACACCATAATTGCACCTGGTAAATAAAATAGTCTGGAGATAAATTTTTTTTAGAAATTATTTTGAAAATCTTACTAGATATCATTTATTCACTGGCAATACACACTAAAGAAATGTAATCTCATCTATTAGTACCCTAAAAACCTTGTTTGATTGCAAAACTGGTGTCCTGTTATGTCTGCTAATTATTTTTGTGAACAAAACTTATTTGATGGCCGAACACTGAATTTATAATTATTTTCATGGCAATACTGTATTTACTCGCTATTTATTTTTCATGAATTAGACAAGAAAATGTACTTGTAAAGGAAATATATTCTCACATGAACAGCCTTTGGTGTCCTGTTACATTGAGAAACTCTACATAAACAGCTGTATTTTCTCCATCATTCAAAGCAGAACAATCTTCTCCTTTATTAGTCAGGATGTAACATCATTTTATCATTTTATGTGAAATCTACCACATCATGGTGTTCAACAAAAATAGTTGTCCTGAACGTAACAAATATTTTTGATGCCAAATTCAGACTCATATATATATTTTATATATACACAAAAAAAGTCAACAGTACAGTAAATAAACATTTTCACTAGATATATTTTGTAAAATTTTCAATTTTGTTTTTCAATTTGTTTCACTTAGTACAAAATATTGAATTCAAATCTTTAAATTTCAATTTGTAAGACTATCAACATTATATTTTCACAATTCAACAGTATTGTAATATTAGGAGAGTAGGGACATTTTTAAATTGGTAAATTGATCTCCCAAAATTCATCAATTCATTATTGGAATAGGACAATAATTTTAAAGTACTAAATCCAATGACAAATTAACACTAGACCCAGATATATAAAACACCTGCCTTTCATATTCCAATGAATTGGAATAATGGGTTATCATCAATATACTGTGGAGTCATACCCTTCCTGGGAAAATGTTCAATGTTACTGTCAAACTCGGGGAACTAATTGAAATCTAACATCATAATACAAACAACAAATATGAAAAGAAAAAGACTCAACCTGCCAAGCATGTTTTTAATGGTTATTATAAAATCATAAATTTCCCTCGGACAAAATTAATTTTATTGTTGTTGCTATTCATCCAAATAAAATTCAAATTTTGTTTGGTAGTGGATAATTTGGCCTACAGAATATAAGTCACACGTAAGGCAAAACTTTGCATCTGAATAAATGGATATCTTTATTCAATCAGTCAATTTTTCTGTGACATTTGAGGACTTTGAAAAGAGAAACAATGCTTGACAAGTACATAGATCTAGGCATTCATACACTTACTTGAATATAATCTATGCCAGATTTTATAGGAACCTTGAAGCAAGGAGGGTGGTAAAGTTCAGACTTACATGAAGCAACTTTTCATGATAACATGCATCATAATTTGATTACTGAAAATGTGCTATCATTAGTTGCGCTTTCAAAGCTCAAAATTATTTTTTTGAAAGCTTAATCTTGAAATGTATATTATAGCAAAGAGAAGATCACATACCTAGCAGAAGAATTGCAGTTAGTTTGCAGGAACTAGTGTGTGATAGTAGGCAAACTTATGTATAGAGTTAGTAAAGCTGGTAATTCAAGATAGAACAAAGATTTTTTTTTCTTTTTCAATTTTTCAAATTAAATCACTAAATAAGAAGAATCCTAATTTCACTTTTGCACATGAAAAGAAGCACTTTATTAACTGCAATCCTCAGAGAGAGAAGTCGCGAGTCAACGTCATTAAAACCACACCTACAATAGGTACAGTACAAACAACTTCTTAAACTGGTGTACACTAGTATAAATCTATAAAATGGTGTCTGTTCAAAGAGACAGATTACTTACTGAACACATGTCCTCACTGTGCTGGTCATCAGGTGTCTTGGGTGGAGTGACTGGGTAACTCATACTAGATGGTAGAGAGTCTGTACTATTTTCTTTTTCTGAGTCAGGTTCAACCCCTCCAAGGCACACCATCCTGTCCATATTTTCAGTTAACAGATTCTTAAGGACAGGAGCCCGACCCTGTGGTGTCAGCTCCATTATCTGCGGCTGAGTATTATTATTTTTTATACACAAGGGCGTGGAAATCAAGGATGTGGACCCTGTAGTAAAGGGCTTTGTTACCATGGATATACTAGAACTGAAAGGAGGCTGCTGTGTTGCGTTAGACTGTGGCGTTGATGACAACACTATCAGCTTTGGCGGATTGTGGGAAGTCATAACATTTTGCATTGTTGTGTGAGTTTCAAGCCTTGGCATTGTGTTGCTTGGGCTCCCCATTAGTGAGCGAGGCAGTAGAGAGCGTAGGCCTGTTGGGGTTGGCATAGAGCCGGGTGGGGTATTGAGCACAGTTATTAGGGTCTTGCGAGTGTCCTCCAGCTTCAGCTTCTTGCCTGCAGGAAATGATAGGTATAACAGATGTGAAAATTCCTTTAATCGTTATTATATCATAGAAACTTTTACCAACTTTGCTTATCTAAACATATTTATAATACTTTCAACTTAAGTACACAATTAGAAGCAGATAGTGTATCTCTGTTAATCATTTTACTGTCAATTTTAGAAATACAGGTAACATATTATGCATTTCAGATAAGGAAACTCTCAATTGTGTATCATAAGGTTCATTTAAACAAAATGCACTACAATCAATCTTCTACATCTCAGCTTAACAATTTTGCTTTCTTGAAAATTCCCTTCTTAGATTTTAACCTGAATTGCCCATTCTCTGAATTTAGTCTTACAATTTCAGATATCATCAGGTCATTACCAACAATATGTAAGTCAAATTTTATAATTTCTATGATGCCATATTTTTTTCTGTTTCTGTGGTAGTTGTTAATAGGAATACAAATGATCCAATGTAAGTACAAGTCACTCAGGCTCTCTGGGTTGCTCTTTTCACACTATAGCATGTAATCTGCATCCCTCCAAGAGTTAAATTCCATTTATCTCAGCATTATCTTATTTTTATCTATATTTGCATGCATGGTGGTGGACTAAATAAAATGGAAGATACTTTTTAAACGATTCGACTGTTTGATAGTTTTTGTCAACAGACCTAATAAACCTACTGCAGACTTGATGCAGAGAAGGTTAGGTTGGTTTTATTTTACATATGAACTAGTATGAAAAGATATTGGTTCCCAGATGTACTCTGTACTAAGCTTGTGACTGGTAATAAGCACATTCATATATACTGAGTATAATCCTAAACCAATTCTATTTCATTGTCCTGTAATAAGCCCATCCCCTGACATCAAATAATAATATACTGGTCCCCAAGGCTTATTGCATGATAAATATGAAACAGTCCAAGCTGACTAACCGGACTGATGCTGAATGGCGGACTGTGGGGTTGACATGGGATTGGCACGGATCGTCACTTCCTCATCAGAATCATCATCTGCCAAAAGAACAGATTTAACATTAGATCAAGCATATATAAGAAAACATTACACTGCATTTCTGTTTGAGTTTTATTTTGTTGTTGTTGTTGTTGTTTTCCCTAGATTTTCTTTTCAATAATTGGTAGTTTAACTAAAAAAAACCAACAACTTGAAAACCAATACAGCTAAGGTGGTCTTAAAAAATATCTGAATCCAAGACCATAGCTACCACATTTCAAGAAATGATGCTAAACTCCTTGTGTAACAAAACTAATGGAACTAGGTGGCAAATGCAAAGTTTTTGAAACAGAAATGAGACAAAGTCTCAGCCTGTGAATTTGAACCGTCCATCACATAGTAATATGATTAAGTATGCAAACCTTCCACTTTTTTCCTTTTCCTCGTTTCATCTGGATCTATTTTGTGCGCTGCAATTGAAATAATAATTGTCCTGATTTCAAATTTTCAGTTATGGAGTCACACACTGTCAAAATTTATTATTGTATAATATAAAGTGATGTTAGAATACTACCTCTTGAAATAAATAAAGTGCTGTAATAAATACTTCTTTTTAAAACTAAACTAAAGGTTCATATATGTATATGTTGTACTGCAGTGGGAATCTAAACAGTTACATTAGATAGGACAAAGTGAAAAAAGTTCCAAACGAAAGGCCAAACTCGTGGGATCATACATACAGATAGTACAATGATATGCCTCCACATACCTACAACCAGGAATCAGTATGTAAAGTTAAAAGGAAGGAATCTAAACTATTTCATAACACTGGCCTTTGACCTTGAAATATGCACCTAACATGACTTTTGTTTGTATGTATTTATATGTGAGCATGTTAATACTTCATTATACTTACAAGATGGAGTATTCATTACGATTGACTCAGATACCTGAAAGAATGGAACAAATTCTATATCATACCATACACTGTGAATTGATTTTCACCATATTACAATATATCCATTACCTTCAATGAACAAGAAACAAAATGTTTTCATAGCATTGTTTTTTGCAATACAACATTTGGTAATTAACAAACAAAAGTACAAAACAGGACACTAAATTTATCCAATGATAAAATTTCCTTCCAGTTTTTCATAATGCAATAAAAAATGTGATGATGAAATCAATAAAGCAATTGTGAATATAAGATTGAATGATGTATCTATGACAAACAAAGCCACAGCTGAAAATGAAGGTCATTATTTGTGCTAATGGCAAGAAATCTAACGTTAATTTACAAAAAACAGAACTTTGTCTCTGAAGAATGAAAACTATATACTACCATTATAGATATAGCATATTAGCTGTAAAGCAGAAAAACTGACCCACATGACAGAAATACTAATTTACATTACGTAACAATGGACCAAAAGGAATAATGTATTTCTTTTTCCATTTAATAAGCATGAAGTCATATTGGATTGAAATCTCATACAGTGGAACTTCTCAAAACCAACTATGGATGGGACATGAATATTTGGCCAGTTTAAGGAAGTTAAGTTTGTAGAAGTGAAGCAAGTTGACCAGTCTGGACTTGGATAGAATCGAACTGATTCTGTTTTGTACATTACATTAACATTCTGTTTCCTTTCAGCATTTAATACACTGCACGTATCCAACTGACCACAGAAAAAAGCTTTATAGGATAAAACTATTTTGCTAAAGTGAAAACAGTGATACTATATGAGACGCTGTCTTTGGACGAAGAGAAATATGTGCATTGTCCAATAATCTCAGTAGTAACCTTGCATACTGCCTGACGTTGCCCAAGTCAATATTTGACTTGTCTGAAAGTGTTACCTACCATGATGTAAAGACATTAATTACTATGGAAATTTTTCTTCTAATAGAGTACTTGATTAACATACTCATTTGGTATGTATTAAATATCATTATTCAGTTATTGGAAAATGTGGATGCCAAATTGAGGATTTCATAGTCTGTGTAAGTACTTATTTTCACTTTATCTATAGTTGTTTCTCGCTTTGGTGAAACAATGGACTCGTTCGATACCGTTTCAATTTGAGATTAGAGATAACTATACTCTATGTTTATTATAATCCTCCCAATCAGGATAGGTATGGTGTACAAAGCCTACCTGTGACAGGTGAGGTAGGTATGGTATACAAAGCCTACCTGTGACAGGTCAGATAGGTATGGTATACAAAGCCTACCTGTGACAGGTCAGATAGGTATGGTATACAAAGCCTACCTGTGACAGGTTGGATAGGTATGGTATACAAAGCCTACCTGTGACAGGTGGGGTAGGTATGGTGTACAAAGCCTACCTGTAACAGGTGGGGTAGGTAAGGTGTACAAAGCCTACCTGTGACAGGTGGGGTAGGTATGGTGTACAAAGCCTACCTGTGACAGGTGGGGTAGGTATGGTGTACAAAGCCTACCTGTGACAGGTGGGGTAGGTATGGTGTACAAAGCCTACCTGTGACAGGTGGGGTAGGTTTGGTATACAAAGCCTACCTGTGACAGGTGGGGTAGGTATGGTGTACAAATCCTACCTGTGACAGGTTGGATAGGTATGGTATACAAAGCCTACCTGTGACAGGTGGGGTAGGTATGGTATACAAAGCCTACCTGTGACAGGTCGGATAGGTATGGTGTACAAAGCCTACCTGTGACAGGTGAGGTAGATATGGTATACAAAGCCTACCTGTGACAGGTCAGATAGGTATGGTATACAAAGCCTACCTGTGACAGGTGGGGTAGGTATGGTGTACAAAGTCTACCTGTGACAGGTCAGATAGGTATGGTATACAAAGCCTACCTGTGACAGGTGGGGTAGGTATGGTATACAAAGCCTACCTGTGACAGGTTGGATAGGTATGGTATACAAAGCCTACCTGTGACAGGTGGGGTAGGTATGGTGTACAAAGCCTACCTGTAACAGGTGGGGTAGGTAAGGTGTACAAAGCCTACCTGTGACAGGTGGGGTAGGTATGGTGTACAAAGCCTACCTGTGACAGGTGGGGTAGGTATGGTGTACAAAGCCTACCTGTGACAGGTGGGGTAGGTATGGTGTACAAAGCCTACCTGTGACAGGTGGGGTAGGTTTGGTATACAAAGCCTACCTGTGACAGGTGGGGTAGGTATGGTATACAAATCCTACCTGTGACAGGTTGGATAGGTATGGTATACAAAGCCTACCTGTGACAGGTCGGATAGGTATGGTGTACAAAGCCTACCTGTGACAGGTGAGGTAGATATGGTATACAAAACCTACCTGTGACAGGTCAGATAGGTATGGTGTACAAACCCTACCTGTGACAGGTCGGATAGGTATGGTGTACAAAGCCTACCTGTGACAGGTAGGATAGGTATGGTGTACAAAGCCTATCTGTGACAGGTATACACACCGGGGGTGTAAAGCTTACAATTGTCACTGGTACCACAGGTGTGGATTCCACGATCCGCTGGCTGGTACTCAGGTCTTGATCGTTAAGGTAAGGCACACAGATCTAGTGCAGTATACATAATTGAGAGGGATCGGTGCTGGGAGGGTTTTTATTACTATAATTTCGTTCAGTTTCAAGAAGTGATGGGTTTGGGAAGGTTTGGTTTGAGGAAGTTGCACTGTACTTTATATCAAACTTTTAACTAACTTATAAATTTCATTTTGATATATTATCCTATGAAAACCCAACATTTATTTGTTATCAATCTATTTTGATTCAAAACAAATGTATTGTATGCAATGAATATGGGATAATCCCCCTAGATACATTTCTAGTACATACCTGGGTCTCCACTTCCAGTTCAGATTTTATGTGGTTTCCCAGCAAATAATCGTCCATAGTTTTACCTTTATGCAACTCCTTTCCAATTTTATCTAACTTCCGGACACATGTTCCCTTTGTGCTTCGTGTACTACCCAAAATATTTTTACTTTTTGGTGTGGAATTAGAATTCTTGAAGATGTCCCATACACATTTATTGCTGCCATCTTTGGATGCTTCTGGACTTGTAACAACCATGGAATTAGTTGACACTTTATCACCTTCACCTACATTACAATGTTCATTATGGAGTTCAGCTTCCAGTGTAATGGCAGTTGGTTTGTCATCAACATGTGACAGCACTGATGACTGTTCCTCTACACAAGATCCATCGTCTACATCCATTGCAGATGCATCACTTTCAATATCCTGACTCTCGTTTATGTCTACATTCATTTGATAATCTATACTATCATCACAATCTGAACCTTTAGTGTCCTTTCCACTTTCAGAGTCATTTTTCTTTTTTCCTGTTTTACCTTTACGAATCTCATTGGGAAGTTTATAACCTCCTAATTTCCGTTTTCTTCGTTTATAAGGAAATTTCTTACTTGGACTAGATAGAATAGGTGGTGAGCGTTTTGAGAGCTTTGGAGAAGATTTCTTTTGTAAATGTTTATCATGAAATTTAGAGGGACCTGCCCCCTTATGCTTGTTTTCCATTTTACCTAATCTGCTTATTTTCTCCAGTGTCCGACTATCAATTTGGATAGGATTATCAAAGTCGGGTAACTTTACAATGACATTGTTTGGAAGCACCATGTCACGTTTTTTTGCAGATGATGAAGGAAACCCTGACTTTCGGGCTTTAGGCACAATTGTTCTGGATTTATTTGACATTGCACTGTCTGTCGAGTCCAGAGATCGTTCCTCTGAACTTCGACAACCTGAGAGATTACCTAATGGACTTTCTAAATTTCGCTCTTCAGAGCTTCGTGCATTATCGATGAACGAACGCTCCACAGAACTACGGGCACTTGAATTTGCATCTAAAGAATCCTTTTTTTCAGTGTCACATGGAGGGTTTGTAGTGTCTGCTGCTTCATCTACAGAAGAGTGCACAGCAACTTTTGATTCAGAACTAAGTTCAATGGTCTGACTTTCTGAGACTTTCAACGAATTTTCTAAAATATCAGATTCCTCGACACATTTGTCTTTCAGAGTCTCTGTCAATGTCATGGAGTCTTTCATGTTACTTTCACCTGTGGCAGTTTCCTGAATGCTAGAATTACACTGTACTTTATCTATAGCAGTTTCGATCTTTGTGGTGGGATCTGGAGATGAACTCCTGCTACCATCAGAAATCACTGTAGTACAGCTGCTAAGTGCAGTGCTCAATGGAGTACTACTCCTACTATCGTCTATAGAAGAGGCTGTACCCGCAACACTGACTGGGGTTCCGCTTCTGCTCCGTGTGGTGACTGGAGTTTTGCTGCGGCTTCTACTTGTCCTGGTGCTTACAGACCCTGAAACTGTTTCTAGATTTTCAGTAGGCCTTGTACTTGGTAAATCTGCCGATACTTCATGTACTTCTTTCGCCTGCATGTGACCATTTTTATCACAGCCTAATGACAGTGGCACAGATTTGTCAAAAGAAGAGGAAATGATTTCTGTGTTATCAGAAGTTTCACTTGAATTGTCTTTAAAGTCTTTTTTAACTTGTTCTGTAGTGTTTTTGGCATCTGTTGTTTCTACAAAAGAAACTGGAACCATATTCCCATTAATAACTGCCTTTTTCTTTAGTTTGTCCATATCAATTTCCTGTACATCAATTTTAGGAGCTGCCACAACACCAAGTCCAGCTTCTTTAGTGTCTGTTCCCGTGCCATCAGATTGGTATCCATTGGTAGTAGTAGTATGACCTGAGGATATATCAGCTACCTTTTCAGTACCTGTTTCATCCACTAGTCTGTTACCATTATGGACCACTTCCTGTGTTTTCATTTTGGCGAGAGCTTCACCCTCCTTTCCTCCCGCGCAATCCACATTCAAAGATTCTCCAATGGGGGCTGCATTCTGTAACACAAAACCATGATATGAGTTATACTAAAAAATATTAATTGTAAATACATATAAACAAATGTTATACTGCAATATCAATGAATGACAACAACACAGAAACTAGAGAAATCAGTGATTACATTGCTCATAAAATTCTTGTCAACAAAATGATAAATATATATTACAAATTCACAATGATGAACAATGCTTTGGATACACTGTATTTCAGCAAACTTTCCCCTAATGGGAAAAGATAATTTTTCATTTCGTTAATTTGTTCTTTTAATTCTTGAAGGGTGGAAAATTGCAAAGTTGAACAAAAGTGAAAATTTCTCAGTTTATTGTTGTCATGAGGTGATTATCTTTTTCTACAAAAATCTCAAAATTTTATTGTCAGTTTGATGAGATAAAAGTCTGTTAAATGGCTGTAAGTACATGTAACAGGTGGGGTAATATTGCATACTGATGTAGTTGGAAGTAGATAATTAAGTTGGCAGGAAGAATGCTGACATAGGGATTCTGGGGGAGGATCATAATTTTAAGATCCCAACAATTCACAACTGGTGAGCTTAAACTTAACAAGTAATACTGATATGCAATATTTACAGAAAATATTATTAAGTTTCAAATATGCTAATATACAAGATACCTGTATACTAAAGCACACAGCAAATGTCATCATTACATTTACTAATCAATGATATCAGGAGAGCTTTCTCCAACCTATTGGTAATTAGGTCTTATTGATATGTAATATCTTATCCTTCCTAATATCTATGATCATAAACATTTCCATTTAAACAATCTTTGGGGAAATAAACAGCTTTTCTAATATCTATCATAACCATTTCCATTGGAACAATCTGTGGAGAAATAAACAGCTATTCTAATATCTATCATAACCATTTCCATTGGAACAATCTGTAGAGAAATAAACAGCTTTTCTAATATCTATCATAACCATTTCAATTTGAACAATCTATTTCCATTTGAACAATCTGTGGAGAAATAAACAGCTTTTCTAATATCTATCATAACCATTTCCATTGGAACAATCTGTGGAGAAATAAACAGTTATTCTAATATCTATCATAACCGTTTCCATTTAAACAATCTTTGGAGAAATAAACAGCTATTCTAATATCTATCATAACCATTTCCATTGGAACAATCTGTAGAGAAATAAACAGCTATTCTTATATCTATCATAACCATTTCCATTTAAACAATCTTTGGAGAAATAAACAGCTATTCTAATATCTATCATAACTGTTTCCATTTAAACAATCTGTGGAGAAATAAACAGCTATTTTAATATCTATCATAACAATTTCCATTTAAACAACCTGGAGGTGTCACCAACTAGCTATCGTGATAAAAGTGATAATGGATTCTGGTTACTACCATCTCAAGCCATGTGTGAAAGAGCATTTAAATCACTGATCTAAAAAACATTTGCATACATTTTTTTTATGAATATGAAATTTTGTGCTATTTTTCTTTAAACATATTTTGCATTTCAAATGCTTTAGCTCCTGAAAATTTATTTAAAAAATTTCCAGTCCGATTTAAATTCCACTTCTTTTTATAATGTGAGCAGGACATTGTTTAAGCGGATAGGTCTCCAAGACAGAAATATATCAATTGTTGTGCAAGAGATACTATCGCCACAATACAATATTCACTCTAGTGACATGTTTAGAAAGATAAAGTACTCTCAGTCAAAATGTCTTAAGCTTGGAGTACTTATTTCCTATTGCATAAAATATCATTTTTTTTATACATGTATCTGTTACAATGTATCAATGGTGTGTTGTTATTTTTACCCTCTAATCAAAGTCTTTAACATTTTAAATTTAACAAAAGCTTTGTCAACTTCAAAAATTGATCCTTAATATAAAAAAAAACAGATTTCTCACCTTCTAATCAAGATATGTTAATTTTTCCCCCAATCAAATTGATACACAAATGACCTAGCATGGTTCCAAAGCTTAACAAACTATGCAACTCCTGAAGCACTACATACACTAGAACTATCAGGGACCTCATAATTTATGAGCCAACACATTTATACGGTACAAAGAAAACATCTAGAGATTTGCCATTCATAACGTCCTTTTTATGTACAGCACACTGTACTGGTTTTCCTGTCATGCTGTATATTAACCTCTTCCATTGCAGAAGTTGACAGTCAATTGCCCCAAGTACTGGGCTAGCGACCCAATAAACCAGATATAGCTGTTCTAATAATTACTCCATCTTTCAGCCAGTGATTACAAAGCAAGGCATAACCACCCAGATCAGAGTACGAAGGGATTGACAAGATTGATGCTTTTAGTGTGAATACTATATAGGAATGAGTCATTGATGACTGGTATAGTTATCACTCAATTCTGTTAGGAGTTACTTATAAAGTGCCGGGACTATATCAACTATTATAGAAACTTGCAGTACAATATGCACTGAAGATAATTTGCAATTCTGAAATAGATCTAGTGCAGGTTTTTGATACTTTTGGTAAAATGTGTCATGAATATTTTTAAAAATTTGAATATTTATTACCAATACAACTTACCATCTTTGGCTTTTTTGTTGATTAACATACAAGAAAAGATGTGCATAAGTACTATTGTCAATCTTAGAAGTGTGCTTAACATGTTTTTGTTATGACATTAATTGAATGACCAATCTGATAATTACCTACAATTCTATTGTTATACAACAGATCATATAGCCAACAGATTTCAAACACATGTATAAAGGAAGAAACAAAATCAGATATTTTCAGGGTCATTCTGCTTTTCTCAAGGAGAATCTGGTCATGTCTTTGCCATCCTATATTTGTACATGAAGACCTGTTTTTCCAAACTTTGTCCTACCACACTGCCACTGTCACACAAAATGAACATGGGAGTCTGTAGGACTTAAATATAGCGACACTTAAAGGCTATAATTCTACAAAGCCCAAATACAACACTGACAAACACTGTCGAGCTCTACTGAGACAGCATGTAAGGCTATGGATTATGATTGAGGTAACCCAGTTCTGTCCTCCATGGAGAAGTGCCTCCAGATAACCCCAGTATGTCTATATATAGCCTAGAATAACAACATTTACATATCAGTACCAAGTATTATGTACAGGTACACACCAGCAATAGCATGCTAAGAACACTATATAGCTCCAGTGTAAATGGTCAGGAACCTTACATCCATGACACATTCTAACAGACATGTGTGTAGTTGTTTTATTTCTTTTTTTGAAGATTTTTTTTTCAAAGTTAAATAATTGCTTAACGTCCTATGAATACATGCATTTTCAAGATTTATTATCAAAATGTAACCAAACTGATACTTTATGAAAGATATATGTAAAAAAACACTCACTGGAGACATTGTAAAATTTCATATTTATACCTTTTAAATGGCATGTTATTACACAACTGCTCTAAGATCTCTCTATATGGGACATTGATCCAGAATTATTTCAAATTTCATGTGTATTTGCCTGTGAATGTGTTGGATATATGCAAGTCTGTATTGTGTGCTTATATAACCTGTACAAGTGTACAGACCACGAGGATAAAACACATCTCCCCGTCACAGCTACTTAATAACATTAATTCTACAGCCAAATGAAGTATCAACCAATCAGTGAACCTTTAGTATACCTAGTTGATTAAGTCTTCATTGCTTGAAAAATCCTCAACACAATGTGGTCAAAATTAATTTGTGAAAAATATTTAATTAATTAATTTACTGATGGAAATGATAAAATCTGTGTCAAATCATTTTTTTAATTATTTCTAAATTTACAGTAAGCTGAATTTGAACTAGTGAATGATTTTATTTAGTAATATAAATAAAATATTTCCATGATATTGATAAGTTACACATATTATAATTTGTTATAAGGGATGGATGTAAATAGGGGAAGAATTTCAACTGACCTGTTAACTGTATCATAGGTATTGTGAATACTAGATTGAAGATGGCTACAATAGTATCATTACAGGTCATAGATTAATATAACAATACATTAATATTAGACATTAGAATGATAAATATAAATCAAAACTTTATATGTTATACAACAATTACAAAACAAGCTATCACTTATATTAATCACTCTTGTTGGCCCAGATGGAAGTGCAAGAGAGGAGTCTTTCTGTAAGAGGAAACTAGAATGCGCAGGGAAAACCCATGTGGTCGAGCACGCATTCATACCTTTTCACGTTCATTTCAGCAATCAAATCCTAGACAGCTAAGTGAAAGTTGAGTGCTTTCTGATCAAGGGATGATAAATTATGATTGTACAAGCTTCAAAATCAAATATCAATTCACCAACACTGAATGTTTGATTTCTATTTGTTTGTTATTGCTTGATGTCCCATTAACAGCCAGTCATTAGTGTTTTATGTATATTGGCCAAAGTATGAATTCATTTGTATAAATAAAAAAAGATTTTATTTGGTTCCTACATCTAAGAAGTAATAATCTAAAGGTTAAATTCAGTAAAAGCTTCAGTTTCTTTTCTGTTTGGGATTGGGAAAATTTTTGCCTTCAGATTTTTTTACACAATTGAAGACCAATAAATGCTTCCTATATCTCCACCAACAAAAATTGTAGCATGTTCAAGATCAATATGCATTATTCCCAACATGTTAAACAAAATTTGAGAAGTTTATTTACAAATAAAATCTGAAAACTTTAGTCATTCTGTTAACTGATATATCATTGACTAGAGCCTTGCACCTTGAAATGGTTGACTGTCCTGTTAAAATTCTTTTTCAGTTAATGCGGTATACATGTAGGAGTACATTACATTTCTGTTTCCAATATTTCAGCATTCAGATTGTAAATCTGCATCAAAAGGTCATCAGTGAAAATCAATAAGGTATGTTATCATATGAACATTCTGGAACAATGGAGTATAAATAGGAATGATAAGAATAGACTGATCTATCATTTCACAAACAACACTGAAGATTTTAAGTAGATCTAAAGATCTAAAGAGAAAGGACTGTGCAATTGTTAATAACAAGATTTTTGAGGTTATAGAAGGCCATGATATGACTAATACACCCACAGTCCTGCTCTCTATAAGAAGGTGTGTATTGTAGGAAGCTCCAGCAAGACATGTGGCTTACCGGCAGGTGGGTGTTCATTCACTGGAACAGCCTGCCTGATGTGACCTTCATTCTAAGCACTATAGACATATTGCCAGGGCTCTGACAGCCACACAAGCTAGGCCTTACTGTATAGCCAATATTGTCAGAATAGCCTAGTTCTAATTCACCTCCAATCGGCTCTTTCATTATAGGTAGCATTTTACTGATAACATTTGTTAACATGTAATACTGCAGACTGCATGATAAAAAGCCCAAAACTTGATTAGAATCCAGTAACACAGATCACAGACATAATAGATCAAAAACAGCTTTGCCTATTGACATTAATGAAAAAGAGTAGGATTACTAAATTATCTTAAAATTCACTTACTTCTGTAAAGGAAACATGGTCCTATCATTCTAACATTGCTATTTCTGTTCTAAAAATTGCCATTAGTTGAGGAAGCTGTAAAATTGGTTTCAAGAATTACAGAACATATACTACAGTGACTTTACAGAATAATTCTGTTTCACCATCATTCACTATGACAACAATTTTTAAATTCAAAATTTTAATCACCTTTATACCACAGAGTAGGATGTACATGGAAATTTACAGGAATTATATTCTCTGACTATGCATACTATTAAGCCACCATCACATCTAAACTTCAATGTTTAAATGTCAATTGGTTAGTTTCAATACCTGCTATAAGTGTAAAACACAATGACATGAAAAGTTAGGAAAATATACACATGGAATTGTGAAAGTATGAGCATGTGTTTGCCAAAGAAATGCTTGCAGTATTGTTACACAAACACAAATATAAAATGATGTTAATCATATGCAGGATAACTTAATACTGAAGGTCATTAAATGCTCAGTCAGTATTGCATTCTTCCTAAAAAAAAATCATCCAAAGAATATTTTATGAATGGAAATGTATTCACATTTTAGTTCAAATACAGAAACAAGAATTTGCATCGCTTTGAATGGAAAAATACAATAATTGGGTCCAAATGGAATTTGAAATATTTCAAGCCCAGAATAGTATTTTGGTGTTTTTTTAATATCAAAAGTAATTAATACCTTTAACAATATCACTAAATTGTGATGATATTGTAAGTTTTATTAATGGTTTATGGCTAAAATTATGGTAAAACAAGTGTCACCAAATCTCTTTAACAATAGTTGATGTTCTGATCAAGGAGGTTGTAGGATAAACAATTTCAAACATGTTAATAGAGAAATGTGAAAAAAGGAAATATTCATGAAATCTACATTAATAATTCATTATAACACTGAATATAGCATTAGTATGATAAGCTGGCTTTCTTCATAAAGCTAATACTGTAGTTAACTTATCACTGAAATCAATATAACAAAGTCTGAATTTGTATCAAGATTTAATTGAAATAGATATTGATGTAAACTTTCAATCAAGACGACTGGAAATGATTTTAACATATATGTTCAAAAAATAATTTTCCCAATGTTTTCCTAGCCTTTTTGAATGTTGTCACTTATTGGAAATTGAGGATGTTTTGTATGAGAAAATTGAGAAATCAGCGAAAATATAAAGGAAATAACAAAAGCTGGTTTTCATGTTCATGCAAAATATGAGATTAACAAACTTTTGTAAAGTTTCCACTGGGTAAAATAATCAACATGCTATGCAGCCCAAAATATATATGCAGGAAAAACCAGTGTTTACTATCCACAAAATATACTGTACGGTAGTTCATTAACTAGAAATATGATTTCATACCGTTTAGTGAATGGCATCTAGAAACATTATGAAGTGAGCCAAAAATATGTCTTTCATATATTCAGATCCATCACAAAAACGTTGATTTACCTATTACATCAATTTCATTACCATAGCTCAATTTGCTATTTTGAATCAATGCTGACATGCTTATGATATTTCAATAAATATTACATCTGTGCTACAGGTTTACAAGAGAAATTACATTTTCTTTCTATTTTTGGATGGGGACTATGTATCCTGTGTGTGTTTTGTTGATTTTTTTAATTGGGGATGACAGTTACTTGGTGCCTTTGGTATGATCGAGTGAAACCTCACTACTAGCACTATATAGCAGGGTGGTCTGAATAGCGAGTATGACCAAGTAGACAGACTTCTAAATATTACCACTTTTCTCCTCATTTTACAATCATTAAATTAATATGTAAGTTTTAAGATATTAAACAAAAAGTAACAGCATCTATGATTTAACAGATGTACACAGTAGATTTATATACACCAGATAACTTTGTGATGGGATGGTGATTTGATGAGCAAGATGAAAGTCAATGCAAAATTGGTCTTTGGGACTTTTTAAAAAAAATGGTCTTAATTGTGAACTGCTTTTAATAATGCAGTACAAAGGCACAAAGAAAATATATTTAGGACTGAAAGAAAGTGGTTTTAATAAATTGACGGTCTTAACTTTGAAGTGGATTTCAAGCAAGGTTTCTCTATATTCCTGGTTTGGAATTTGGCAATTTGGAAATAAAATTGTGCTTTCACATTTAGAATTGATTGTTTATTATAAGAAAAAAATGTATCTTAATCTGATCAAAAAAGACATTTTTTTCTGAGCCTGTGAACAAACAAATGACTAGTCTTTGTTGAGTGGAAGACTAACGTTTAAATGTCTGGTACCAACTTTTTGACAAAGCTATACTCAAATCACTGCACAACTGCTTCATCATCCACATGTTAATGGAGGAATAATTTGATCATACAAACTATATGATGGTCAAATTGGTAACTTGTGGACTGGGGTTCTCTTTTTGTTGTAAAATTAATAAGAATTTAAAACATTTACTCATATTCAGTCATATTACCATCAAAACTAACATTTAGGACATCAACCTGTAGCAAAGATGAACATGGTGTATATCATATATTCAAATTCAAAGTTTGTGAGGAAATATCATCTTTCATTTCATAAATTAATACATGTATTTAACAATTTTTTTGTAGTTTTTTTTTCAGTATCTTTGCTGTCATTGTATCATAACAGTTTGATATTATTGTCCATTGAATATATTAGTCATTTCACATGCCCAAACTGTACAGTAATGTTTGCCATGATCCATCAATGGTAAACTCATGTACATTTCCTGTTGAAATATTTAGAGCATGCTGATGCACAAAATGAACAGAATGAAGTTGATGAATTTAGCTTCCACAACTTATTTCTATTCTGCCTACAAAAGGTGTCATAATCACCATTAGCTATATTTGGATTTGAAACATTGAAATGACAGGTAACAACTACTAAACATACTGTCAATATAGGAAATGCTACCAAGCATATCAGACATGCGATTCTTATAATTCATTATCCACTGATGGTACGACTTCCCTGATGATAACTACAAGTAACTACAAATCTCAAGATTTCACTTTAGTTAGTGGAGTGTTCAAGAGGACTACACGGTTCTACCATATGACTCTATTATAGACATTTGCATTATATGACTATGTTTTTCATTTTTAACAGAATTCTATGAAGTTGTTAGAATTGCTACCACTCAAAACGTTTGGGATCTGAAGTGATTCCAACGAGTTAATATGAAAAAGACAATTCCAACACAAAAATGGTCATTTCAAGTTTCTTAACGCAAGCATCTGCGAACAGTTTCTTGGAATGTTTTATCGTTTTTCAAGTTTCGATTTTTTCATGCTAAAATGTCTTACTTTTCATTCATCTTGTCTGAAAATATATTCTACAGATTATTGTACGATTTTAAGCAACTGTATGTTAAAGTTGAGAGTATAAGTCACCTTACCAGCATTGACTGGTGGAAATTTCCCCTTAGTCAAGCAGTAGAGTGCTTGGCTAGAGACAGCAGGGTTGCTAGTTAGAACGCTGGCAGGGAAAAGGCATTTTTATTACCCCTTCCTATATATCACAAGGATTTAAAAATGGTAATTAGAAATAAAGTTTAGTTTTTTTTAAAATAAAATGAGTTTAGTATAAATTGTGAAGGTCATAATTGCAACAATTGTCTTTTTTAATCATTTTTCATTTTTCAAAAATTCTTGGAAATGATCGTCCTAAAGGAAATACATTTAAGTACTACTGGTAAATGTTAAGTATTGTTCTAAACTTTGCACATGTATGTTAAAAATATTTCAAATCAACATTTATCCCTGCAAATATGTACAATTGCTCTTGAAGTGAACATTTATACAAGGTAAATAATGTTTGAAATGTCAACGAAAAATATGCATTGCTCTATGTTCATAACTTTAAATACTATTGCAGAATATCTATTTGAGAAACAACACAGCTCATATATGTTGATATTTCTTATGTGATTAAATGTTTTTTTAAGTCTACACTCCACTTGACACTACACACACGCATGCCTACATATGATATACCGGTATTACAAATGGGTGTACAATACACATAAGTGCGTGTAGTCACTGTTACAAACACGTGTTCGCGTTTGGTAAACTGTGAATGCGTTAGTAATGAAACTTACAACAAGGACTATAATTACTTGACAAGGCACGTGTGCAGTGATGACGGACATTGTCGACAAACAATAATCACCTATCGCATCACCATAAACTTCACGTTGCTTTTGCTGTTGTTTCCTGCTCGGCCGAAAACAGCTCGCAATGGCAACACGAAGGCAAAGAAACATTGGTGACCATGTGATTATCACAAATAAATAACAAATAATAAACAATCGGAGCAGGCACACGAGTTGGAAGATGTGTCGCCTGTCTACACGTATGGTCAGAGCAAACAGACAGACGACATATTGATGATGAACACCGTTCGCACTGCTCTACTTCCTTTGGCGAGACACCGAGGAAGGTTCGGGTCACGATGTAAACAATGTCGACTTGGACAAAAACATGGGAGTATTGGGGAGAAAATGATATACAGCACCCCCAAGATATACTCATACAAATGCATCGTATAGTCATATTCACTTCACAAACCCCATAAAGTACACTGTGACCAGTAGTATCCTAACCTCTTGTGTGTTTCTGTTCTCTGTGTCCGCCATGAAGAATCTTGGTGGAGTGCGCATGCGTATTGTGTTATAATTCCGACTGCCTGAATTTCCCGCGCTTTATAGCTAGACGTATTGCCACAACATTAGAAGTGATTCAACCCAAAAGCACGCATTTCGAACGGCATATGGATTGACAGGAGTAAATTTTCAAGACCGTTTATTTGTTTCAAGTGGGGAGGATGATTAGATTACTTCAGAAAACTATTATTACTCTGTAAAAGTTTCCTGGCTATTCCATCCTATTGATAACGCCCCTACAAAATTGCATATTTAATGAATCTAGAACATTGGCAAGGACATGCTAAGTGAACTTCCTGTAGAGAAACGTACCAATGAAAATTAGATCTGATTGTACCTTAATTATGGAACGATGACTTTCCGACTAAGGAGTAAATCTACTTCGATCTTAAAAATCTTATACAATGAAGATTGAACTTTGGTGAATTTAGTTTTCTGTAAAATTTTCGCTAAATAAACGCATTGTTTATGAAGTGAAAATGGACAATCACATTCGGTCTATATCTCCTCTGAATGTAACACAGTTTCAGAATATTACAAAGTGTCAGAAGATGAACTTACAAACGATTTCATTTTTTATGGATTACTCGGAATTAAAATTCCACATCGAGTTTTTCAGGTTATAATTGTGTCTCTACTGCGGTGTTTAAGTATAGTGTGTTAAAATGATTTTGCTTTTCCAAACTGATTTGTCCTACACACAACGTTAATGAGGACCTTGAAGTCATGCTTGTCATGCTTTATCATTGTATCGTCGAAAACGCAAGCCTAACGATCTTCTTTCTATTTTTTCTATTCACTCTTTTCATTCTATACATTTGCCAAATATGTGAGTTTGAATAGCATTAGAAAACAACCAATATTTAGCTATACAATGTTGTTCACTCGTATTTTTGTTTGTCTTTTTTTTTCAACAACAGGTCTTCTTTGATATCAAAGATACAGCACTTATCCACGGTCATATACTTTACAAGTATGTAGACATCGTAACATTGTTTAAGCGATTGTTTTAAACGTACATCATTTTAGTAAGTAAATGACACGGGAAAAACGCCCAAGACCCCATTGTTTCTAACTACTAGGTTGGACACACTTGATCGACGACTACTCTACTAAAGCAAGCACGTTTTAACAGGAGTTTCCCTAAAATCTAGAAATCAGGTCGATAAACGACAAAATCATTTTACTTGAACAACGCTGAAGTTCGATGTCGCCTATTGTCTGATCAGGGGTAAGAAGTTCCCAAAATTTGAAACGGAGTCCGTATATTTTGTATTTCAAAATTGAAACGGAAATGCAAGACATCAGGTTACATATATGTAGTGCGTATTTTGCACACACTAAGAAAGAGGGACTTAAAATTTGTCACGTGTTGGTCAAGTAAACAGAAGTAAGGAAGAAATAGCTTTGTGGTTACGAATTTGATCACTTCCTTAAACATAGTAACCTGGAAGTGATTTTGGAGAGAGTCTGATTAAATGACGCCTACTATATCTACCGTACATGTAATAGAATTTTTTATTTGTACGTTTTCTTATATTTTGGGTTTTCCAGGAGTTAAATGTTTATCGGCAAGTTTTGTTCTCCAGGGCCATGACTCAAAAGTAGACTCAGATTGTATAATACAAAGACGTGGTCAGCTGATTCAGAGAGCTATGAATATATCTCTGTTGGGGTGGGCTCTGGACTTTTGTCTTGATTTCGGGAGTACATGGATGGTTGGGGGGAAGGGAGAGGAGGGACCACGGAGAGTACATACTACGGCTGTAGTTCAACCAGGTGTACAACTGATTACTAGTGTTTACCTTCAACACATGATTATGACTGGGTATCACAAGATCCGGCACACCTGGGGAATTATAGAGAGTATTGATAAATACAGTGTTTACTCGCGGAAATACATGGACGTGATAAGCAAATTATATTAGTAGTGAAACTCACGTAAGCTCGCAAGTATAGCGAGCCAAATCGAGAAATAAAGGTATGTTTCTAATTATCCATCCTTAATTTATAGATATTTATCATTGAAACCTAAATTAATTAAAAGATATACAAAATTTAACGAGGATTTATTGATAATCTGAAACAAATTTAAAGCGACAAAAAGTCCCTTGTAATGGTTATAACCATAAATAATGGATATTTGTAATTGATTTTAATAATCAATTATTTATAATTTTTCTCCTTTATTAAAATAATTATTCAATAATTCTAATCAAATGTGCCCAATGTATCCATCAGTCCATTTAGGGAAAAATTATCAGTAATATCCATAAATCAATTTTACGGATATTTATGATATATATTGTATTTATTCTAGCGCGTGAAAACATAATGTTTTATTCATCACACAAGGCAAACAACATAAATAAGAGTTGAATGTGTTAACACAAGTAGCATGATTTTGGAAAATATTGTCTTATTCAACGACTTATTCTGCAACAGAATCGGAACGCCCATTCCCAAGCTTGTTGCTGCTGTAACTTTACAATATATAAATGGTAAATCAATAAACTGACATAAATGAATTTATCCAACCTAACTTTATTGGCACAATCATAAGTACACGTGTAATTTGATGGCTACCACGAAAAGCATAGAAATGACGAACTAAAGTTTACAAATGAAGTAACAATATTTTTGTCAAGTAAATGAAACTGGTTTCAAGCCGGTCCCTCCCTTCTCTGGTTACTGTTTGATAAATGATTAACAGGTCTTAATCATGATTTTCAAACTGGATGACGACTTCATGTTTGTTCATATTTCCACAGCGTGGTGACAGAACTTGGACCGTACCGATTTATAAATGGAGCAATCGGAAAATTCCCCATCCATTGAATTACAGGCTGCACATTATCTTTGCTTTTTGGGGTTTTTTTTATTCAAACGTTATGTATTTCAAGGTCATGTTCGCGCAATCTAGACTTGGTGAAAAAACTTTTTAGATTAAAATCAAGGTATACTTCGTTTCAGAGAGAGAGAGAGATTACTTTGAGTTCACAAGACTTACATTCACAAATAACCACTAAAACATGACTTACTATACCACATTATACACCATATTTATGATGCATACAGTGACATTTTGTCAAAAATCTATAAATTTTACCTAATATTTTTAAAATGAGTTTATGACAACTCGGATCCAAAATGAAAATAGAATAATGACAGTTGCTACTGTGTATCACTTTAAGGTTCAAATATCAGTTTCAAGGACAAAGAGTGCTCTGCTAATATACATGTCTAATTGTAATACACGAAAAGCGCATTTATAAAAGTTAACTTGGAATATTCTATATGTGTTGTCTTTTTTTCGGTTACAGGTCCATATTAATGCACAAAGTGACAAACTTCGAACAGATTTAGCGTTCAACATGGAGAGCGATTGATTTTAGGTATATTGTTATTGTATTAAACATCGTATCCCTAATGAGCCTTTAACACGATAAATAGAAACCTAGTTGTGTAGCGTAATACCTATGTATAATTATTCAGATTTATTATGAAGAGGAACATTTGGGATATCATTGAGAAGATCGTGTATTTCGGACTATGAACTGACAAACTGTGTGTAATGCACAGGGACAAGTAACAAGGGGGAGAAGGCGTGTGTATCACATGTCCCTGTGATGTTATGGATGTAGACTACACAG